ATGATCTTCGCGGTATTTTCTACTCTTAATAAATCTATGCTTCTATGAATTTCCCAAACAAGGTGGAAGCTGTTGTGCAGGCAGGACTTGAGACTGAGGGGTGTGCCCTGTTGTTTGCTTTGGTCCCCATTTGTAATACCATGCCTTCTCAATTTGCCATTTAATAAATAATATTTAAGAAATTGTTAATTGCATAGACTGCCCCTTAATTTTAACGTTTATGGCCAACTTCATATCCAATTACAGATCCAGTACAAGGTAGTACTTTCTTATAGACTTGTGCATGGTCCTTGCACTGAAGAGTTATCAGCATGAAGAGGTAGTTTTACAAAAATCAAAGTGGATGGAAATGCTGTGTACAAATATGAGTTGTTCCACAACTCTCCATATTGAAGTTGGGGTGATTCTAGAAATATTAACTATATAGAATAATGAATTCCCAGCTTTGCACACTGATTATGTGCTAGCAGGTCTTGCTAATCTCTGGGTGCAATTAATTGAACAACTGCCTGCACGAAATGAAATTTCTATTTAATTAAAACCTTCAAATTTGGATTATTTATTCCTAGAGCGCACCCGCTCTGTGGTAGTTTATTAAACACTCTTACTCTCGACATTAAAAGAGTTGTATTTCTCATACTTTGTTATCAGCAAGCAAATGTACCTAGTCAATAATTCATGTTGCAGTTCCCTCAATAAATGAAGTGCTGTTTGAGATAGGCTGTCGTTTTTTAAAAATTGCTTCTGATCCAATAAGCCAAATTATATAATAATAAAGCATGCCATCAATGTAAACAAATACCAGATGGACTGTAAAACATTTAATTTTAGGTCGGTGCAAATAGACTGAGATAAACACTGCTGTGGCATATTGTCAGTCACTAGTAAAGCCCAAAAAAGGTTTTCCACTGGGTGTCCGTATCCTCAAGGATTCCAACTTCGTGCTTATTTTCTCCTGTTTTAAATCTTGCTCTATTTTTCCCCATTTGCTGCCCATTACTGCACTTAGAGACATGGTGTGCTGGCCTGGCTGCATTTCAAAGTGTGACAATGCAAGCCAGGAAGTTTTCCTGAGAAGAGCCAGGTGGTGTTCCTGGGGATGTCCTGTGATCCCGGAGACAGTGGAGATGGGACAGCTGCTTTCTGCGTTGTGGGGAGTGGGCTCATCTCTGTTGTTTTTTCCCCTCCTCAGGGAATAACACTGCTGTTATACCCTGACGTTGTACCACATCCTCTGGGGTGGATGCAAACAGTGGCAGGTGCTTTTTACTCTTTAGCTGTGAGTGTATTCACTACAAGGCTCCTTCAGTTGCAGTCAGTTCAAGATCAAGTTCAATGTCTTCGCACCAGTAAATTGCAAGGATAGGTTTTATTTACATTTAAAATATGATGGCTGTTATTTCATATTGATCTTTAAGACATCTGCTAACCCTTCTATTAATAGGTAGTTGATGTGTGATTACGATATTATATCGGATATCCTCGTGTCTATATTCTAATTTAAGTGAAATTCATAATAATAAATCTAAAATAGGACAACCATTATATTGAAGGGAGTATTGCATTTCGAAAACATCTACATTTTAGTGTTACACCTGTTTTTCTGTATGTGCTACCCAAGTCTATGATTTCTTCAATCAAATAGTTTTGGACTTTTAAAATCCCGCTAACACTTTAAAAAAAAAAAAAAAAAAAGAAAGAAAGAAAATGTTGGCTTTTTGATGGGCTGGTATACTCTCGAGACCCAACAAAATTTTAGGACAACCGTCTGTAATTACAGACGTAATTACAGACATGCAATCCATGCTGTATATATCTTATCACATGCTTTAAAAGCTTTCCTTACAATGCTTTATGGAACCCAGCTATACTTTGTTAAACTGTTCAATACGTACAGATTTTCAGCAGATGATACACAAGTACTGTCACCAGAAGTAACTTTTTATTATAAACCAATCATAAATTGCAGGTTGTATCACATAAACAAAAATACTTTGTTTCTTCAAGATGTAAAGATGGATTCCCTAGCTAGAGGGGAAATGCATTCAGGAATGGCTAAGAGAAGTTTGTTTTCTTATGCCTGCTAGTTTTTATTTTATTATTATTATCGATAGGCAGAAAGTCCATCAGTTTATAGATCTATCAGCTTATTTGATATCACTAATTGGAGATAGATTGGAATGCCTTAAAGCACAAAGAGTATGCTCTGAGAGACTGGGATGAGGTAGAACAAATTTAAGATCATGAGTGTGTTTTTTTATTGAAGACATTTAACCTCAGTGTTTTTTGTCAGGAGAGAGAAAAGATCTAGAGACTACGGTCCATCTGTGAAACTTTTGAGATCCTGACATAACTTCTTTGTCAATACTTAGCCAATAGGGAGCTTTTTAAAAATAATTTAAAAAAATTATTTACTGAGGTAGATAAAGATTGGCAGAAGGTGTAAGGTCCAGTTGCCACCTTCATATTAAATGTAGCAAAATCAAACCTTGATTTTGATTTTCCTACAGAGAGCACAGATTATGGGTTTTCCAAGCAGAGATACAGATTGGGTGGAGAATGGCCCTCAGGAGGAGGATTTGAGGGTATGGGTTGATGAAAGACTCAACATGAGCCAACTATGTGCGCTTAGAGCCCAGGCGGCCAACTGTGTCCTGTGTTGCATCAAGAGAAGTGTGACCAGCAGGTCAAGGAAGGTGATTCTGCCCCTCTACTCTGCTCTCGTGAGATCCCACCTGGAGTACTGTGTCCAGTTCTGGGGCCTCCAAACACAAGAAGGACAAGGAGCTGTTGGAGTGGATCCAGAAGAGGGATCCGCAAAGATGATCAGAGGGCTGGTACACCTTTCCTATGAGGGCAGGCTGAGAGAGCTGGGACTCTTCAGCCTGGAGAAGGCTCCATGGGAACTTTATAGTGGCCTTCCAGTACCTGAAGGGGGCCTACAGGAAAGCTGAGGAGGGACTTTTCATAAGTACATATAGTGACAGGACAAGGGGAAATGGCTTTAAACTGAAAGAGGGTAGATTTTGACTAGATATTTGGAAGAAATTCTTTACTTTGAGGATGGTGAGACACTGGAACAGAGAGTTCATGGATACCCCCTTATTGGAAGCATTCAAGGCCAGGCTGGATGGGGCTTTGGTCTAGAGGGAGGTGTCCCTGCCTATAGCAGGGGGATTGGAACTTAAGGTCCCTTAAAGTTCCAATTGGAACTTTAAACTAAACTAAATTGGATCTTAAAGGTCCCTTCTAACCCAAACCATTCTATGAGTCTATGAAACGGTGTACCTACCATCTTGGTTGTATGACAGAAGTTTTCTTTGTGGATGCAGATGTTTTCCATTTCTTGCTATGAATTAGCATTATGTCGTAGAAGCTCAATCTCTTATTTACAGAAGCACATTTTCCTGATTTGTATTGCCAGCAATGAATTTTAATAAGAAAAACACCTGTCTTGTAGTATGACAGCTGATGACAGCATCAGAATCTCTGAGGGACTAAGATGACAAGCTATCCCCACACATCAACACATCAGGCTTCCATTGATGTCTTGGGCATGCAGTAACGTAGCATTAAGTGATGTTTAACAAGGGTTCATTTTGTTTGTCAGTTTTGTGATGTGATCTGTCTGAAGGAAAGTATAATGTTCCTGTGTCAACGGATGATGAGAATATTGTAGTAGGTATTACATGTCTTTGTACAGTGAGCCTTGTCTCTAGAGATGCTGACAGATCAAATAGCACAGCATACTGCTGCATAAGGACTAGGCAAGTTTAGGCAAAAATTCATGCATTGTTTTACTAGTAACTGATGTTTGAGATTCAGGAAAACATTTTCTTATGAAGGAATACACCTTTTTTTTTCCCTTAAATTAATTGAATTGCCATAGTTTTATCGCTGTCATGTTTAACTGGTGTGTCTTTACAACCATACAATATTGAATGGGAAATCATTAAAAGCACTGTGAGGATATCCCTTTGGTGTGGAACTTACCTTTCAAGTTACTGAAAATTTATCACTTTCTTTCAATAAAATACCATGATATTCTCTAGTAATCTCAGAGTGCTTCTTCAGGTATAGACCAATGATCTGTGTCTGAGCGCCTGGGAAGATAAATGGAAATGGTATGCTTTTTTATGATATATGCTTTTTGGATGATATTTCAACAGGAAAATCCCAACTGAATATGCTTCCCTCTGAGTGTCCTGCACCACAAGTTTTCTTTTCAGGACAGTTTGACAGTAGACTGCGCATCTCCCAAGTACAGTGTAGAGCTGAGTCTGAATCAGGGATTCTGTCATGGCATTTTTATGTGCTTAAGTTGAAGAATATTTAAAAAAAAAACATCCTTTTAATTTTTTCCACCTTAGAATTTTTAGGGCTGCTAACTAACTACTGGCATTCAGAGTTCTTTGGAACAGTAGGATTAGGTTTCAGCTTCAAATCTAGATCTTGCTCTTTCCACTTAGGTGTTCAAATAATCTTAAAAAAAAAAATCAGTGTCCTGATTTTTAATCAGAAAAACAGTCATAGAAATATTGGCCTCTGTGCAGTTTCTTCCACAGAGAAACTCTGGCAGAAGCAGCAAAACCAGACTGTTTCTTGTTATTCCTTATTCCACATATGAATCTTGAACATACGCTCTGAGTGGGCTTGAACTCACTGAGATTTTTTTTTTAATTTATATTTATTATTATGCAGTAATCCCTAGAACTGAAAAACATGTCATAAAAAAACAAAACAAAACAAAACAGTACAGCAGGGAATTAGTGTAAAAAATCCTTCAAAATAGCATTTTAAAAATGTTGCTTGATCACTATGGTGACTAGTGGTTTTATGGCATTTAAATGTTTACCTGCATTTGTCTAGTTTCATATTGCCAAATACTTGGCTAATGTTACTGTTTTACATTTTAAGAAGCTATGGTGGGATTATGAGCATTATGGGATTTTCTGTGTTTTTCTGTTTTTGCTAATGTGAATATTTATTTTTTCCTCTAGAAAGGTTCTGAAGGAAATCTCTATTGGAGACCTAAAGCCTAATGAAACAGTTGAAGCAAATCTGGAAGCACAACTACTCTCCAAATTAGACCATCCAGCCATTGTCAAATTTTATGCAAGCTTTGTGGAGCGAGATAGTTTCTGCATTATCACTGAGTACTGTGAGGTGAGAGATTTAGATTACTTTGAAGAAATTTGATGGAATGTGTGCTTTAAAGTAGGGTCTTAAAAGAAACCTAGACCAGTTTTTTTAATGTTTCACTCTGTATTTTATTCTTATTTGTTAATTTTGGTACCACCTACTACTTGTTAGGCATATTTTAAACAAACAGTATTACCTGTTTGTGTGTGCTCATAGACTCACAGCTCAAAAACAAACCAGAAAATAGGTTATTTAAATACTAGCTCATTTTGTTTACTGTAATTGGTAGTAAAAGATGTAAGGCAGATAGATTATGAGATTTCTCGATGAACTTAGAAAAATTGAACCACGAACATTCTACTGACAGGTAAGAGAGGATGAGATTGGGAATTTGGAGGTGCACTGTGAAATTTGATGCAAATGAGTAAGGGAAAACTCTCTTGTGAATTGGAGCTGATTACAAAGAGCTTAAGCCTGATCATGTGGGTGGTTGAGTTTGGTAGCAGTATTTACTTTATAAAGTGGAGAATAGTTGATGAGTCAGACCAGGGTGTAAGGGATACAACTAATTCTAAAGTAGGAGAAGTACTGTATAATTACCAGTTTGATTTTTTTTTTTTTTTGACTGCAGCATTTGGTGTAAAAACATATTGATAAAATCTGTCTAATGGCTGTAAAGTAAGTATTTAAACATATTTAAGCCAACTTTTTAAGAGTTTATATGAAACAAATGTCTACTTTTGCGTTAAATATAGATGTGCTGTTCTTAAAACATCTGTTACACACACAGCGCTCTTTTTATGAGTCTGTGAAGCAGGCTGTTCAGTTGTGCTCTGCTAGACATTTGAAATACTTTGAAAGCTAATGACGTTGGACCACTGTGTTACCTGTCCACCATCAGGCTTGTATTAGCTAATCACATTTCTCCAAGCATCAAACTTTGATGTGAATAATTAAAGAAGTAAAATTTCTGCAAGTCACTCCTACTTTAGAAGCCTTCTTTGATGACAGTTAAATGCATATTATAGCTGGGATTTTTTTTTATTATATCTGAAATATTTGATTATGTTATGCAATCTGAACATTTGTTAATGTACTCTTATATTCATGCAGAAATTCTTTGCTTCACGCTCTGAATGTCTGACAGCTGGGGCTTAATGGAATTTTTATATTGTCAACTCTTACTGGAAATTCAGTGCTGAGAACCAAAGGATTATCCTAACTACCCAGATATTCCTGTGCACTGTGATTCACTGTCTCTGCCAGCTGCAGAATGCAGCCCAAATCCAGATCAGTTGATCCTGTAGAAATGGAGTCTCTTTCAGCAGCATTATGGGAGTAGACTAGTGTCTTTGGTCCGCTGCTTTTTACTTTTATTCTTCTGTCTGAAAGGAAGTTATTGGTGAATAAAAAAGGTGTGATAGTAGTCACAATAATAATCCAAACCTGTTGCAACACTCCTTGATATCTTTTTTTTTTATTCAGACAGAGTCAACCGCCCTGAATTGAAATGTTTTAGTACAGAGTAGCCCTAGAATTCAGTGGACATGTACTCAAACACACAAGAATGCATTAGAAAAGGCAAATAAAGCATGAGGAAATTGATATGTTGACTGTGCAGCTGAATCTTTTCATTTCTGAGTCTACTAGGTCAGGCCAGAATGACACTGGGTCCACAAGGATTTGCTTCTGATTTTTCCAGAAGGGCAGAAGATGTTGTATTATGTATGCAATTAAGCAATCAGGATGTATTAAATCAATTGTTCAGATAAGGAAAATACAAAGCACAGTTTTGCATACTGTTATATTTGCATACTGCTATTTTATTTTACCTTGAGTATTTCTATAAGGTATACTTTCGTATTTACATATCCATAGCCTGTCTTTTATTGTGGTGGGAATTGGATCTTTTTATGAAAAAGATGCGTGTTTAAATTGAGAATAAGAAAAGTGCATCTGATCTATCCTTGTTTGGAAATCTAGTACATTCAGTTTCTCATGCACAGAATAATTACCTCTTTGGCAGTAATTTGTACTCTTGGGCAGAGTCAAAATAAAGAATAAACATCAAGTTGGCATGGAAACAGAACTACCCTCTCAGCCTTATTCTGTTTTCTCCAAAGAACTGTAACTTATTCATTAGCTGCCATACTTTGTTCATTCTTGTTTCAATAGTGTAGTGAGACTCCAATGCAGCTGCCCTGTCTTGTACCTATCCTATGAACAAAGGAGATCTCTGCTCTCCATTGCTCAGCTTGACATCTTTTATTATAACTGAATTCTCTCAAAATTATAGAAAAGAAGTATGTGTATTCTGTTTCAGTCTTTTTCTTGAGCTTTTTTGGTGACTGTCCTGATACAACATCTTAGGTATATAAACAAGATGAACATTATTATGTAAGTCAAATTTGAAACAAAAAACGAGCTTCTGCTTTTGTGAAATTTGGGTTTCATTTTCTGGCATAAATTGGACTTCAATCAAATACAGTTTTTACAAATGCAAAGTAGTGCCTTTAAATGTTGTATCATTTTAATACATCAAAAATCAGAACTAGTTACACTTTTCCTCAGATATTTATTTCTGTCTCTTCACTGCATTTTCACTGTGATGTGAACATACATACACTAAGGAAATTTAAAGAAAAGTAATAATTAAAGCAATAAATGCCTGTTCACATCATCAGTCCCTGGTACTGAGCTGTTTTAAGTTACTGGTATGTTTGATGCTCTTGACATTTAAATAGAAACTGCAGCATGGAAGCTTTCTATTTTGTTTCTATTTCGTTAACTTCCTTGTGGACTTCATTGTATTGGCTTTCCAAAATGCAAAAATTGGTTAATTAACTTTTTTAGAGTTTCAGTGTTTTAGAGGCTGCAACATTTCAGCAAATTTGTAATAATGCATTTTTGTTTTCCTTTCTTAGACATAGCATTAAGCTTAAATCAAATGCAGGACATTGAGACCAGTCCTGTCAAAAGCCACACAATTACTTCAGGGCACATGTAGTACTTTATTTGACTGCTTTTGCTCTTCTTAGATCATCTGAAGGACTTTTCAGGTCCTATGTTTCTTTGATTTTTTCACATCAGCGCATGATTGTGGAAGAGAATACATTGGGAGAGTGAGAAATGGTGATCAGAGGCTGCTGCACTTCAGCTGTTTACCTGTTTAGTCCCCTGGGGATAGTAGCCAGTTGCCATGGGTTGGAGCAGTCCCTGAGTCTTGGACTACTGCTACTGTTGGCTCTCTATGGTCTAGGGTAGCCATCTGGAGTAGGTGAGTCAGTGCTTTTAAGGTGTGTGCAGGCTTGGACACAGCCCATCTGGCTGCCATGCGCCAGGGTACCCAGCAATACCTTTTCTTCCCTTCCTCTGCTCCGCTGAGAGCAGACATGGGGAAGCTGTTGAACATTTGGAGTTGCAAAGAGAGAGCAGCTGCTCAGAGCTCCAAGCTCCCAAAAGAGCTTCTCTCTGGACTACAGTAGGGAGGCAGATGGAGAGTTGCAGTCATAAATGTGCTGAATCAGACATTTCAATTTAGAAATGGCAGGACATTGTTAGGGAACACATTTTTGATATGTGACAAAACAAATTGTCTCTTTTTTTTTTTTTAAACAGTTTCTTTTGACTATTGCAATTCTTAGAGACTTAAGAACCACAGGAATTATTGTAAACTCACGTCCACTCAGAAATGTATGGATGTGCAAGGACAGAACCTGCTAATTTTGTAGCATATGTATAAAGCCAGTGGTTTTGGGAACCATTGAACAGACTTCAACATTTTAAGAGTCAGCAGTACAGGGAAAGGTTGATGATGGGAAATGACATATATCAACATAACCGGTGGTTTATTTTCTATATGCATCACAGTGGTACAGGTTAAACTAATTGCCCGTGTATGGAAAACACAGACACAAGTATACATTTTGATTTTATGCAGAATGTGTAATGCAGGAGTAATGATTTATGTAGAATAAGTTGTCTTGGTGTAAGATAATTAATCACTAGAATACAATATGACTCACAGTCCCTTTGCTGTGGGATTAGTTACCTCAACACAGATCTTGGCACTACTGTGCGTTCTTGTAAACAAAATCCATTTATTTTATAAACTGGATAAATAACCAGCAGGCAACCATCTCTCTCTTTTTTAGCAAAATAAACAGTTTTCATTTAACTCTCCTCAAGAGCCTCTTTCATCATGCTGTTGTTCAAATGACTTTTTCACATAAATGCATTTATAATTTTCAAGTAGTCTTTTTCTTTATATATTTTCCGGTTTATTTGGCACTGCATGCTATGCATCACATTGCTTCGTTTCAAGTGTCACATCAAAATTCAATTGTCGTTTTTAATGAAATATTCCTAATAACACATGGTACAATTTCTAGGTGCTTGAATTCTGCTTTGTTTCTGGCAAAAGAGCATGGAAGAAGGACAAGGTGTCATAATTATTTTAAGAGGACTGTATTTTAGGAGAACTGTATAGTTGATTTCATTATGCTTATTTCAACGTAATAAATGAGCATCTCTTGACTGTGCATTGCTTGACTTAAGTGGCAGTGTTTTCCCCAGAATTACAATCTATCAGTTAGACAGGTCAGGGTAGAATCATTTTGCCTGCTTAGGTGTTCACATTTGGGCTACTCAGTGTAGGCTGTCTTTGTAAGCCTTTGTAGAGAAACAGCACTTGTACTGCATAATCCCTGTCTTCCTAAGGCAAACACTTAGATGGCAGAGATAATTGCACACTACCACTGCCTGTTCCTTTGTATTAACTATGAAGGGAGTTTGAGGTGACCAGCTCAGATGGACATGTTTAAAACTGGGTGATATGAAGTGAGAACTGCAGAGAACTTTGGTAATTTTGTGTGACGCTAAGCGAGAACTGACCTACTTTCCCTAGGCAGCCAGTCTGCTTGATCTCATTTGAGTCCTCAGTTCTGTATACTTTTGGTGCTGTGAGAGTTCAAAATTCATGTGCAAGCATTAATTTTATTGACTATGTGCTGAAGCTGTAAGAAAATGGAGTGCCGTGTTTTCACGAAGGAGAAGACATTTTAAAAACTTACTTTAAATGTGCAAATTTGTTGTGATGTTTTTCAGGGTGGAGATCTAGACTATAAAATTCAAGAGTACAAAGAATCTGGGAAATTGTTCACACAAAGACAAATAATAGAGTGGTTTATACAGTTGTTACTTGGAGTCAACTATATGCATGAAAGGTACAGTCATTTTAATACAGAAACATTTGGCTGGGAGGGGAGTGAGTAAACTTTTACTCTCTTGTACGTGTTCAAATAGAAATTAAACCATATTGATTATTTTCTGTCTGTATAAAATCCTATTTTCCAAGCTGCTATGGAGTGTATGTAGTTTATTTAAAGTGTAATTAATTAGCTACCATGCAAGAACATTGTATATTATATCTTTTAGTGGTGCAGTAGTGGATGTCTTTCAGTGTTAATGTTCCTAATAGCCAAGTGAAAAATCTAAGACGATAGAATTTGTTCAATATTGTTAGAATAAATTGGAGTTAAAGTTTAAAATAAAGACAGCATTTTAAAGGGGTTTCAACAAATAACTCTTGCAAATGTTTAATGTGAAGAATCAAATGGTATGCTCGATTTAAATCAGTGAAGTTAAACACATATATTCTTTAAGCACTAACATTACTTTTAACAGCACATCAAAGATTAACCTAATCATTTAGGTCATTCAGACGATGGTATATGATTAATTACCACATTTTTTAACCAATAGTGCAAGATCCCGTGCCACCACAGGCATCAAGTTGGTTATCTGATGGAGTGTCATCATCTGATGGAGTATTGGTTTTAAAATGTCCCTGCTGTAGGTAACCAAGGTCAGAAATAAGGCCTCAGAGCAGGACTTAAAAGGTTTCATGTGAGCTGTAGGGAACCGGTGCTCCAGCTATCTCCTGGTAGCATGCTCCACACAATTCTTGCCCAAGTTTGCAAACTGTTGAGCACTGTGGAGATAACACTTGTTTTGGACAGAGATAACAACAGGTAAATACCTATCTGGTCGTCTCCATGAGTGCCTGCAGTGTGATTTACACAGGCTGATTTCAGTGATTTAAACAGTTCCCTCACTGCCACTGTAGTGATCACGTGTATGAAACCTGTTTGGTCCTCTTTCTGCGTCATTTCATGCTGTCATCATGGAGCTAGGTGTGACTGTTTAGCACAGCAGTAGATATGAGGGAAACAGTGCTGCGTTGAGTCAAGAGGAGAAGGCTGCTATGCAGAGAGCTGGAGGAACAGCTGCTCAGATAGGAATACAAGGGCTCCTTTCAGGAGCAGTGAGACAGGTGAAGTTAGCCTGGCTTTCAGCATCTTCTCCTCTCCTTTGTCTCTTCCCTGTTGCTTTTGTATGTTAGCAGCTCTGAAATACCATGTTAATGTATAAGACAGAGTCCTTTCTGTAGACCATTGTAGCCCGAGAGTCAAAGGTGCTTCATCCTGCCAAGATGAACCGTTTGCACCATTATTCTCTTTTTGAACATTCAGAATTAAAAATGTCCTTGCTGCAAGGACTATCTTAGAGACTAAGGATGTTTATCTGCAATCACTTTGTATGGCATCTACTTTGCCACTTGTAAATAACTAATCTACGCACTGCCACACTCAATTTTAGGTGCCTGTTTTGGGGAAATGAGCCAATTTGCCTAGAATAATGACATAAATCATTAGTACAGCTAGTGGAGAGAGAAAAGTTGATGTTTGAAGGTTAGGTTACACCTAGAATCTAGAGATGAAAATTCTTTTATTTTTTTTCCCAGGTTTTTTTTTCCCCAATCTGAATATAAAATAGATTCTATGCACACTGTATTGAGGCTGAAAGCAGTGCCAAACTGATACGACTGTTTCAAATCTATTTCACAGCAGGGCTTGGGCCAAATTCTCTTGAGCTGCAAGAGAGCAGTAGATGGGGACAGTCACTTGTCACCAAGAACAAGTATTTCTGAGTTGAGTTGAACTGAAGTATGTAGGATACCTTTGACCTAAGGAGAGAGATGCCTAATGAGTTTTTGCACCTACAATGTCAAGCTGTAGAGGGAAGAGGACAGAGTAAATTGCTGTTTAGGACTCAGAACATTTTGGTTCCTAATTGTCAGTGTCACAGAATGAATCATAGAATGGCTTTGGTTGGAAGGGATCTAAAAGATCATCTATTTTCCACTCCCCTGCTGTGCTAATACATATGGGGTTTGTACACAGTGTGCCACGCCAGTCCCACAGGCTGCAATGATGGGAGCACAGCAGGGAGAGAACTCAGGATGCTGTGTTTTTCAGTGTTCACCTAAGGTAGAAATGACATAGGGAAATGGGAATAAAAATCCATATTGTCTAACTGAACTATTAGTGTTTTTTTTCCACCCTTTTCTTGAAATCCAGTTTAACAATTTATCATTAAAAAGTTGGTAATCTGAAAGGTCTATTTGTGATGAAATCCTTTCTTTAATGTATGCATTTAGATGGTGCATTGTATAGACTAATGCAAAATAATAGATTGCATGAGCTTATTTCCTTATGCCTCTGTTACCTTCTTCTTTTCTCAAACATCATCTTTGCCTGCTTTTAGTCTCTGCTTTATTATTCTCATCTTCTACTTGTTCTCAAAAAAATCTTTTTAGAATTCCTATGAATGATTTTTTTTTAATATATACATATATATGTTAAATTACTGGGTTCTCCAGTGAAAATAACTGTTTGATTTTCCAAACAGCATTTCATTTTCTGTCTTTGAATTAGAGCTACTTAATAGCACCTCTCCAGACACATACAAGTATCTTGACAGTTTTATTTGTATTTGCATTTCCTGTACATTATGATGTTTTTAACTGTATTCACAAGAAAACCTATTCTTTATCTTATTAGCATACAGCCAAACAATAGCTTAAATGGGAATACGTAGGCTTTAAAATTACTTACAGAAATACATTTGGATTACAGAACTATAAACATATAATAACAGTCCACTGTTTATATATAAAGGAGTCATACATTATTTCTTCTATATTGTTATGGGAAAAAATGTATAATACATATTTGAATTGTGTTCTGATGGAAAGAAAACTTAGCCCTAGAGTTAGAAGCTTCAAATATTCATTGCTTATGGGCTGGACCTTCTCAAGCCAATTCTTAGAAAATCCAGATGCTGTAGATGGAAGTTTTTATTCCAGAACAGCAAAACATAATTATTTCTAGTTTTAGACATAGAGTATTTTATGATTGTGCTTCTTTTACAGCTTTAGTTGAACTTCTATACTTTTTGAAAACTCTCTCATGCTGGAGATTTATCTCTAAAAAGAACTGTTCTTCTTCTTTGCATTTCTCCCCCTGTAATAAGAAAGACTGTGCAGTTTAGACATTCATGTCTCTTATGCTTCATAAATCCCAAAGGAGTAATGAATATCTCCTGGTGACTTTGCCATCCATTGTCTATTTTACATAATTGGAAGAATTTTTGAATTTAAACTCGAAAGCTCAATTATCTGGAATTAAATAGATTGAATCCTCATTTGTCATTTGTGTAACCTAGAAGAGAAGTTAAAGACAGCAACATCATTTCAGTGATCTTATCTACACAGAAGGAGTTACTGTGAACCCATCTGGTGTCTGGCTTGCTTGTAGCCCAACACACACCAGGGCACAAAATGGATCCCTCAGCAATCAGGCAATGAGACTGTTAATTCATTTAACCCCTGCTTGAATAAAGATGACCATTATGTTATCCATCACTTTCCTAATCTTGAATAATACACCGGCACTGAGATTTTGGTAAGGTTACTGTTTATGCAAACAAAGCTGTTACTACTTTCAATCTACAGGGTAGCAGACTTTGCCCAAGTCCTTTATCTGGATTTCATGTTGTCTTTTCTAGTACAGGATCCACAGTTGTCCAGAACAACGTAGATCTCAAAATAGTTCTTCAGGAAGAGCGAAGAGAATTACATTTCTGAATGTTTCACAGCAATGAACTACTTCAGAGTCAATCAGCTTCCCTTGCTAGTAGGTTGCAGAGAATCTTTATTCTAGGAGGCTGTCTGCTGCTCAGTGATCCACACTGCTTTTTCATTACTGTGAGACAGCAAGCAGGTACTCTATAGAAGATAGGCACAGGTATATTTATAGGCCAAACTCAAAACCATTCTGAAGTGTTAATTTCTACCCAAAATATCAATAGCCACTTTGCTGACTGTCAAGTTAGATTAAATTTTACTGGGGTCCAGTTAGATCATGTTGCTTCGTTGGCAATATATATTTATTTCTTGCTAGAATTAAAGTAGTTGTTTCAGTTAAGGTTTCAGTGTGTAACTTGTTTATTGTCTGACATATCCAGGCAGAATAAAGTGGTTGGTATTGAGAAACATCATTGTTTTTTTTTAAATCACATTAATGCATAAAGGAATCTAATAATTATTGTTAATCCAATAATTTGCATCAAATTTGATTCAATATATCACAGATGTTTATTAACGTTATATTCTATTTCAGACTAATGTGGCCAAAATGCTTGTTATTCGAATGCTTGTTATTCAGATCACAGTTACCCAGGTTTTTTTGTTCAAGGAGTCTATGGTTTTATTTCTCCCAAACAAAAACAAACAAAAATCTAACTCAAGAAAAATCTAACTCAGTGAAATCAACTTCTTTCAAAGGCTCTGTGTGATACATGGTAAGGAAACAATTTATGAATCTAAATTAACAGAGCAAGATTTATATATGGCTGTGTATACGTGTGGGCTCATAAACCAATAAGGAATATACTGTTAGTTTAATTTCCTTACTGATGTAATGCTTGATGAATGTACATATATCGCTCAAGAAAGTAAAGTATAAATTATGTATAAGCATCAGTGGAAGCATGCTGAATAAAGCATTCATTTTTCCCGATGTACACATTTCTCACTACAAGTATTACATTTTCATGACAAAAATTAGGAAAAAAATTCATAAGAATTATAAAGAACTCTTTTAATGTCCCGTAAAAATATTTTCCCATAAAAATGTTTTCTTGTTTGACTGTGTGCATTACAGTATCTTCTAGTAGCTATTTTACTGGTTTTTTTCTTCCTGTTAATGAACAGCTTATAAAAGATAAAAATCAATATGTTTGTTTTCTTGCAAAAATTATTTTCAAATGAGATGTGGACTAAACAGCTTATTTAAATTGTGCTGTAGAGTAAGCATTTTGTAGTCTTAATGTGCAAACTATTTTGGAAATCATTTAAGTGTCTCAGTGTATAAGACTTTCATAATTCAATACAATTTGACATAATCCTTGAGAACAACTCAAGAGCAACTGAAATCTACTTATGTATGGGATTTTTCTGTCCACATCTCAAGAATTTTATAGCTTTTCTTATCTATTCTAAGTGGCTATACAAGGAATGCATTTATAGTAGCAGTTTCAGTAGCCAGTTTGTGCTGAATGCTGTTCCAAACAAATGCTGTGTATTACCCAAGTTATAAGGAATTTCAGAGTGGTTGAGTTCAAGTTTAGCTGAGGTTGTAGGAAACCCTTTTGGAATTGTTATTAATGAATTCATTGAGACTATGCTTTGTGTACTGCAGGTGTATCTTTTTCCCTAATAGGGTGGAGAATTCCTGTCATGCATTAAGATCTTGAAAAAAACAAGGAGATGCAGTTTGTCCCAGTGTGGTGTGCAGCATGTGATGTTGGTTCAGTCTTTGATAGAAACATAAGTCTGTAAGAGCTGGTTGCTCTCTTTCTTTTCCTTTTGATCTCTGCCTTTGTGAAGTTCTTTTATCTTCCAGACCATTACTTTAAAAAATTGTACAACTAGCCTAGTTTGAATACGTATTTGTCTTTCAAGTAATGCATTTTCTCTGAAGGAGGATTCCCTGAGCTTATTTGCTGTTTTTCTCATCCCTTATTCTATTGTGATACATCTTATTCTTCTGGCTGTAAATAGTATGTAACACTTCTAAGAAGAGCGAGACAGGAAGACTTACTTTTCCCCTTTCCTCAGCAGCTCATTCTAAACCTGTATCTGTATTCTCTAGCTGGGATTCCTGGGCTTGTTTTTATTATCCTGACTGCTTAGGCTCTTAGATTGCATGTGGGTGTCTGTGAATGCATCTCTGAGATTATTTGAAACTCCTTAATGCCGCTGTCTGTATATTGTTAAACAGAGTTAGACTGTAACATGGTGAGCTGTCCTTCCTGGCAAGGAAAGAAGATAAATACTTCAGAAATCTGATAGTGGACTGTGAATCCTTCAAGTTAGATGAGATTTTTAAAAATTTTTAAAAAAATTTTTATTTTTTTGTATTACAGGCGAATACTTCACAGAGATTTGAAAACCAAGAACATATTTTTGAAAAATAATCTTCTTAAAATTGGTGAGATTTCCTTACTTTTTAAAGACACAATTTTAGTATGATAGAACAATCCAGCAGACATTCTGTGAATAAGGAGATTTAAATAAAGTGATATTAGATGTAATGTTTGTTTAGTGGTCAAACATTTCCCTATCATACAATAGAACAGGGTCCGAACAGTCAGAGATGTCCCAGGCTTGAGGGTGTTCAGAGCACCACTAGACCTGGACCTGAGCACCCTCATGTAACTTTAAACTGCTCCTGGTTTGAGACAGGGGTTTAAAAACTTTATAGCTCTCTACAACTCCCTGAAAGAAGGTTGTGGTGAGGTGGGGGTTGGCTTCCTCTCATGGTAACTAGCGATAGGATGAGAGGATACGGCCTCAAGTTCTGCCCGTGGGGATTCATGTTGGATATTTGGAAAATATCCAAATTTTCTCTGAAAATGTGGTGAGGAGTTGGAACAGGCTGTCCAAGGAGGTGATGGAGGCACCGTCTGTGGCGGTGTTCAAGAAACAAGTGGATGTGCTACTTTGGGACATCATTTAGCAGGCACTGTTGGTGGTAGGTAGATAGATGGTTGGACATAATGATCTTAGAGGTCTTTTCCAACTCTAATGAATCTATGATTCTTTGCTTTTATAATCAGGTGACCTCCTGAGGCCTCTTGCACCTACATCATTCTGTAGATCTGTATTCTCATTTTTTTTCCCCACACTTAAAATTCTGTCATTTTTTAATGTCCAGACATTTTATTGTGCCTAACAATAAACATAAGGAGTTTATGCAAATAAATGTTTTCATACGCTCTTGAAATGTTAATATTGTATTCGTATATTTTTGTTTTAATTTGTGCTTCTGATCTAATATGGATGTCCTGATCCATATCTTTGTTTACTGTCTTTATTTACTAAAAGCAGTAATTGCAGGATCAACTCAGCACTTAATTGCCACTGAAATTATTTCATATTAATTTCACTTTTGTAAAGAGTTCCAAGCATTTATTGCAACAACTTCATTTTAAGTTATTTATTTCTGATTTTTTTTTCCCAGTATTCATCACCATGGTGCCAATGTATCAAGTTCTGATGCCTAGAGCTATTCACTACACGCAGTGACAGGGAAAAATCTTTCATAGCATCCGAAGTGGTGTTGTTAACTTTTATCTGTTGAAGTTATCAGATAATGTGTACAAAAACTTGAATTTTTAAAAATCCTTTGGCCTATTTCCTGCAAATATAAGAATGGTCAGTACAGGATAGTTCCTTTCTTTTAAATGGATCATAGGTACAAATAGGTCAAGCCTTTCCAATTAATTTTAAGTGAGATGGCAACTCAGATAAGAAATTACTGTTGAATTTGAAGTGATAATCAGGAATTTAAGTAGATCTCTATCTCAATATCAATATTCTTAGTTCTCCATCAGACTCTGTTTTTGCATTGTGACTTCTGAAGTTTTGTCAGTTTATACAAGCTAAGGGTATGGCTCTTCATATAAAAAATGAGAAGTAACCAGAGATGTGTATGAAAGCTGTGGTAATCTCTAAGTTTGTATGAATTTTAATCTTACTGCGCTTAATTGTTTGGGGGTGGATTTTTGTGTTGTTACTTTTAGGAGACTTTGGAGTTTCTTGTCTTTTGATGGGTTCATGTGATCTGGCAACAACATTTACTGGGACGCCATACTATATGAGTCCAGAGGCACTGAAACACCAAGGATATAACACAAAATCTGATATTTGGTGAGTAATCAGCATGCTATTTCATTTCATTTCATATATCCAGTGAAAAGGAAATGTCTTAAAAGGTAAAATGTCATCTGTTGCCAAGGTCAGCATTTAACTGTCTTTAGGAACTCCTGTCCTTTCCCTCTCCCTTTCCTTTCCTCTCAACAATTTTTATCATATCATGTCCCATTAACTGAAGTTAGCTGAGTCTCTCTGCTGCTTTTTGTTATCAGGTTAGTACAAGGACTGGTAAATTTGAACGTCTGTTCCTACAGAGAAGCCTCTCCAGTTGTCAGATATAAATACTTCTGATAAAGCTCATGAAATCTCATTTTTTATTGCTTGACATGAAAAGTCAAGTTCTGCAATTGTTTTGGGCACCTTGGTTTTTAGGGACTTTTTTTTTAATGTGACAGCTCATTTTCCTTCAGTCAGTAGCTTCAACTCATTAAATAAATTGGCTTCCTTCAAAAAGTAATAGTGAGTTTCTACCTTAGGGAGGAAGGTGGCATTTTTAGCTTCTTTATTTACAAAGACTAGAAAGTCTCAGTCTTATTAAACTTGTTAGGAATTTTGCCTTTGAGTCCATATGATCCCAGTTTTATCACACCATGCCTAATTATATTGTCATCGTTGCTTTTAATAGTAGTATCTATACATAAGCATTTGTATGGCACAAAATATTCATTCCTTTTATAGAATGTAAAACCCAGGAGATGGATAAAATGGATAAAATGACAGTATTTTTGCAACTTGAGGAACAATATTTTTTTTCAATTTTGACTTCAGCAGAGGAAATGTAGGAATGTTAAAAAGAACTGTTATTCTATCTCTGGTTATTTATTTTTTTAACTGAACTTATATTTGATGAGGCTGATCTTGTGCCCTTCAAACCACTCTATATTCTGTGGCCCATTGTATGGCATCCATACATGAGAGAAGAAGAAATGACTAAAAGATCAGATGAACTGCTGAACAGTCTGTTCCCATTTTGCACAATTTTAATGCAGTGACACATAAAAAGCCCTAGTAAGGGTGAACTCCATATATGAACTTCATAAACCTGAAGGAAGACTTAGCATCTAGGCTTTAGAGCTCAGCTTTGAGATAGAATTCAGAAATACTCAGTGTTTGGGCTTTGGAGGTCTTACAGAACAAGATAAAAGGCTTTGTCATGAGTAATTCCATTTACTATCTGAACCTTCTAGCAGGAGGAGCAGAGTCACTGTTTGTTCCCATTTAATGACTCTGCAGGAGATAAGCTGGGGCAGGCAGAAGTGCAGCACTCATTGCTGCCAGCTCAGAGATCCATCTCAGTCCATGAGCACAGTCACGCTGGAAAGAATGACCACCACAGTGTCTTCTGCAGCTGCTGGCCTTGTGTAAAGGGAGCCTTGGGGAGAACCTGGACATCTTTGCCTGGAGAGCATATGTGTGGCCAATCAGCCCAGCTTCTGCCCTGACTAAAGAGGAGATGAAATCCTTGTGCTGCTCTGCAGGATGTTCAGAGACTTGTGAAGAAGTTATCCAAGTCATTTTGTATGAGTTGCTGAGGTGACGTTCTCTCTTGAGACTCATCTTGATCTCTAGCAGGCACTAGCTTTTCATCTCCAAAATATAAGGTTTTCTGAACATCAGAGAGAGCTTTGTACTTTCCAGTGTCTTCATGCAACCTAGAAAGCCCAGACTTTCAAGAAGGTTGGTGATAGCTCCTACAAATGTCTCTAAAGCTAAAATGGGCTGTTGTAGCTTTCCCTGAGATCTCTTTTATTCCAGAGAACTGGAGGTTCCCTTGGCACAACAGCTTGCAGCCGGTTTAGGTCCTGCTTTATTCATTTTGCAGACTGAGCATCATTCTCCCATCTCACCTGAAACTGTCTCTGTGTTCAAATGTCCAATAGAATTAACAAGCCACAAGTTGTTAGGGCTGTATTGCACTTACAGGTTTTTCCAATCCAAAGAATTTGGGGCTGCTTAAATGAGACTGTAATCTGTTCTTGCTTGTAGTCTGACAAGGGTGTATGTATATAGATCCTCCAGTGCAAATTTTGTTTGCCTTCTAGTGCCATAGCTATCTTACTTTGTTTCTGAGTAGATAGGATAAATGTATGCAGCCTGTATTCTTTTCAGTATTAGAGTATATTATGGCAAACTTCATCCATGAACTTTGCAAAAGGTATGTGCATACTACATATTATAAATTTTCTCAGGAGGTGAAATGATAGCAGAAATAATTTAGTTGAAAAACAAATGTATTTGTCACGTAGAAACATAGCAAATTCTTTACAAGAGAGGTATAAATAGCTTCTTTTTTGTCTTCCAGAGAAAAAGTAATGTCACATTTGAATCCACTGGACTAAGCTGCTAAGTACAGTCAGATTTTGACAGATGGTTTTTCTGTGGAGTTTGTATGAATTGGGCTCCCTATGCTACAGATCTTAGGACTTTCATTTTAATTGTGCTTGCTACCTATGCTTCTGCCCCAGTTTGTCTTTAACAATCTAAAACTTGATTATTTTTTTTAGTGCCAAATTTAAGTAGATAATTTCCAAAAGTAGCAGTAGAGTTCATACATACATTGGTCTTTTGAGTAACATTTTACTGATGGATTTTTTTTAAATGTAATTTTGTATGAAACTAGAGCTTTCCAATGAAAGCTAGGCCTGGAGCAGATGTCATATTTTGAAAAGCTGGGCCAGATCCTCACTGTTATGAATCAGTAAACTTCACTGAAGTAATCTCTGCTCTTAATTCTGAGATAAATGGACAACAAAAGCATCTTAAAAGCTATAAGATTTCTGAAATGTAAGCTCCACTTTCAGTACAACTTCTTTTTTTTTTCTTAGCATGCTTTGTATTTTATTTTTTGGAACTTAATATTGAAAGAAATTACCTTTATGTGACTTAATGCGAGAAAATTTCATGCTGATTTGTGTCTTTACAGACACAATATTACCATTTTGTCTCAGATTTTCCAAACTATGTGTCTTCAAGCGAAGCACAAATAAAATTGCAATTTAATTAATAGATATGTCTAAATTATCTTTTTCCTATTAAATGACTACGATGACTATTAAATGTGTGGGCCAACTGAAAACCTTGTCATTGCTACTGTATACATGTACCAGAAGTCATCAAGCCCTTCCCACCCCACAAATGAGGGAGATAAAAAGAGGAGGAACCTTTCGTACATTGGAAGGATTATGATCATGTTTTTTTACAGTGACCCAAACCTGGAAATCTTTCTGATGCTTGTGGCCCTGATTGGTGGATATAAGGGCTGTTCACCCAAATATAAAGGTGTGGCAGTATCCAAACTTATTTCCAAAATATGCAATCTAGATAACAAAGGTTTCCACATCATTTGAGGTTGTTATTTGAATTGATCTTGTAGTGAGAAACACTTTGGATTGGGGTTTTTACATTGGAAGGAAGTGTATTTATTAAAATATTATAACAGGTTTGCTGCTAACTATATTTTATAGCGCTTAATATGAAATGTTATTTATGGGCTGGATCCTTTCTCACAGAAAGACTTCACAGAAATTTAATTACTGTGAGAATTAGTGTGCTGCTGTTCTTTCCAGTTGGTTTGAAAAGACTGAGCTGTGTGACCCAGAACTACTTGTCTCCATTAGAAAGACACACCAACAAATAACTCCCAGAAATTGTCAGGAAGAGTAATGGTAGCTGCTGCTCATATAGAGAGGGAGAAGCTGTGCCATAAAGACCTGAAAAGCAGTGCAAGAAAATGTCATGATGGTACACACAAAAGCTGCTCCAAAAGTAATGCCTCCTAATTTTTTCATGTTTGTATGCTGTGTGAGAGACAGATGGTGCTGGTACAGCAGGAAAGGTTGAACCTTCTCACTAATATTCTGTTACATTTTGTTGCCATGTGACTGATGGCAGCAAAGGGGCAGTCTGACAACATGGTGTCTGGCATGGGAGCACGTATGAAGCAATGGTGTGTAATTGAATTCCTCCATGCAGAAAAATTGCAGCCACTGACATTCATTAACACTTGCTGAACATTTATGGAGACCAAACAGTGGATGTGAGCACAGTGGTGCTTTTCAGCAGTGGTCACAGTGACAGTGAGTCACCTCCTCTGGAGTGTATTTTTACTGATGTGATGTACAAGCTCTTGTTCATTGATGACAAAAATGCATGGGTAATTATGGTAACCATGTGCAAAAATAATGTTCTATAGCTGAGAATTTGCTCAATCAGATACTGCTATTGTGCTCTTTGTATTTATTGTAGTTTCTGAGGAAATAAATAGGAGGCATTACTTTTGGGGCAACCTATATGTGTACATGTATGTATTCTTCAAAGATCCTGAAGTCAGCAAATTCTTCAGACCTGCTGTTACAGTCAGACTGAGATACACAAGCCACAAAGGCCTATGCATTTAGTTTGTCTGGTTTTTAGTGTTTCATTAAAAAGCCAATGTGCATCTTACAGCCTTTAAAGGAATATGAAGTATTTCAGAAATTTCTACAAAATATTGGAATGTATTAAAAATATGAAGGAGAAATTAGGTGTCTGTCAATCAATGTTGTAGATAATATACTGAAACCTGTCCAGATGCTCCTACTTGTGCTGTAACTGAGCATAAATGACATGAAGGTGAAATGACCATACATCAGTTTTGCTCAAATGAAGTGTTGTTTAGCACATTTTTCAAATGTATTCATGAACATAGGATGCTATCAAACCAAGCACTCTGGCTGAATAGTTTAATAACCATTTTAGAATTTCATAACAATGGCAGTTAAACGAGCTAAGGTTATAAAAGTAATTAAATTATGTGTCTGGGTCATTGGCAAATTGGGAAGCAATTTTCTCTTGCTGAGTGTGCTCATTACAATATGCTTTGGCTGGGGTTGTTGAAAGAACTGCTCTGAGAAACGCAGTCTGGAGGCTAAAGTTTGGTAATTCCCCCGAGCAATTACAATTCAGCAGTTGTCCTGGGAAAAAAAGTTGCCTTTCTCCGGGATCCAAGGCATTTCTCAGCCTGGGAAGTATTTATTAAATTTCAAAGAGTTGTATCTTGCAGTAAAAACCCTTTTCTTTTTTCCCTTCTTTTTATTTTCATTTTTTTTCCCTTTATTTTTTTTTAATTTGATGGACCAGATGGGCTTTTCCCTGGGTAGCCTGTTTGCTGCCCTGGCTTTACCAGTATGCCTTGGTGTTCTTTTTCATCTTTCTCCAAAGCCTCAGGTGTAGTCAGAGGGCTCATCTAGCTGAATAAATGGGCTTCCCTGATGTGGCAAATCCTGTTCTCCTAATGTCTCATTAAGCACTTTTTGGCTGCCAGAATTAATCCAAAACAGATTGATTCTGCAAAAAACAGTTTTAGTACGGTCTATCAGGCTGGGATTTTCCTTTCTTCTTTTTTTCCCTCTGGTGGGTTTCCATTTTTGTTCATTGCTTTCATATGCCTTGTGCTTGATTCTGTTATAAAGTATTTTCTTAGGTAGTGATTATCTTGTTTTAGAGTTTAAACATACGTCATAAATACAGATCTCTGTGTGTTACCATTTACTGATTCTGGAATTTTGAAAGTGGATTGACAACTAAATATTTAAGACACCATACAGTTATTTAGGTATCTCTATAGTTATGCAATTGTTAGCAAAAATGTTCTAATTGTTCTCAGATACAGCTTTGAAAAGCACCAGTGAGAGAGCCCTCCTCTCCCCTTCTCCTTATTTTATTGTATGTGGAGCCTGGATTTCAGCTTTACTATTACTTACTCTTCTTTTGTTGCCAGATGAGCTTATCTCATTCCTCTTCTTTAACCAAAACAAATGATTTAAATTGTATTTATTATTTACTTCAAAGATAATGTTTGTACACTTTTCACCAATGCTATTCACCTATGCATACTTCCATGTATCATTAGTATGCTTTTTTTCATACTGCTTCTGTAAATGACTGCAGTCAAGTATGACATAAAGAATAATGTTGCTCTGCTGATGGAGATGAAGGTGATGGTAGACCAGAAGCCCATTTAAAATTCTCTGGTTGTCATCATTCCTTATGGTTTTTAAAGATCTAAAACAGACACTGGTTCTCTACTAGGTGTCCAGCCATGAGTATTCCGTTTTCTTCTTCTCCAAGTAAAATTTAGAGGAACTTTGATTTTTGATATTTCAGTATAATGCAGTCAGCTAAAATCTGGTAATTCTCTGAGCTCAAATCAATTAGTTTACATACGTATGTATGTGTGAGCATATGTATGTGTGTGCATATGTGTATATGTGTATGTATATGCATATAAGACTTTATATACAGATTGTAGATTTTTTCCTGCATTTATGCAAATGGAATGAGGATCTCTCCTATCTGCAACAATACCTATTTGTGATCTGACTGATGAATAGTGATCTTTTCAGATGAAAAAGATAACATAATAGTGAGGATAATAGGACATTTCTTATTGTAATGTCACTATGCATGCTACTTGTAAAAATAACATCTATGCTATTTCTTTTATTATTCAAGGTCTCTGGGATGCATTTTATATGAGATGTGCTGCATGAACCATGCATTTTCTGGACACAATTTTTTGTCTGTTGTGCTAAAAATTGTAGAAGGTGATACACCTTCTCTTCCTGATAGATATCCAAGCAATCTGAATGCTGTGCTGAGCAGGTGTGTTGTTCTCTTGTTTAGCTTCTTCTTAAGTTAATTTAGAAAATGACTGAATTATCACTACTGTTTTTTAATGTTTCAGCATGTTAAATAAGAATCCTTCACTGAGACCAACAGCAGGAGAGATCCTAAAAAACCCTTATATTGATGAGCAGCTAAAGGTAAACAAGAAGATAAAGTGGTAGACATATGTATTTCACAAAAGTAGAATGCAGATGGAGAAAATGTGTAGAGAAAAAATAAGTTAGCAGCCTTTGGGAATGTTAATCAAGAGACATTCTGAGCTAAATTACAACCTGACTGAGACAGGGAGGCTGTGGGAAATTAAGCTCTTCTCACTTGACATGCTAAATGTTTCCCCCCTTTAAGATCTCATGAACAATAAGGAGAATGGACACTTATGCATAACAAGTGCAGATCATTTGAGCCTGGGGACATGTAATCTTTAAACTGTTCTGGTTAGTCATAGTTTTAATGAAGGCAGTGCATCTTGCTTTTTTGCTCCCTGCTTCAATGTATGCAACATATTACTTTCTAAGGAGGTAAGGAAGGAACCCGCTTAATCATTTTTTGCATTAGGACTGTTTTGAATAATAAGTTGGAGTCTGGATCACTTTGGCCTCAGGCATTAATATAACTTCTATTTTATTTCTTTACAGAATATACAGTACAATTTCACATGTATGACTGCAAAAGACAAGGGGCTTAACTGGCAGAAAGGAGGTGCTCCCATTTTTGATGCTGTGTAAGTATTTTTAAATATTTTGTGGGCAGCTCTATAAAAAAATACAGTGTTGCCAAATGCTATCCTGCTCTGAACATTTGTTTGTGTTAATTTTGTAACACTTTGCTTTTAAAGAGATTTTGCCATTCCTCAGAAATACAGGACAATTACATTAATGAGTTTCATAATTAAGACTTAGGGCACAAAGTAGTTCTAACAATCAAATATTTTTATTTTGTAACTGTAAATTACATGTATATATTGCATGCATGTGTAGTATATTGTCAAATTAATTTATTACTGCTTGGTATGTAATTAAATTTTCTGAATATTTTGAAGGCTTAGGTCATCATTTTAGTTATATCATAGACATTTTTAAGGAAGGGAAAGAGGAAGACCCAGGGAACTACAAGCTAGTGAGCCTCATATCCGTGCCAGTGTGGAGGACAAGAAAAGAATCAATTGAGAGTAATTGTGCAGAGAAGACGTGGGGGCTCTGGAGGACAAAAAACTGCACATGAGCCAGCAGTGTGTGCTTGCAGCCCAGAAGGCCAACAGTATCCTGGGCTGCATCAAAAGAGGGGTGGTCAACAGGGCAAGGGAGGTGATTGTTCTACTCAGCTCTTATGAGGCCCATCTGGAGTACTGTGTCCAGGCCTGGGCCCCCAGTACAAGAATGATGAGGAGCTGTTGGAGCAGGTCTGGAGGCAGGCCACAAAGATGATCAGAGGGCTGGAGCACCTTTCCTGTGAAGGTTGAGGGAGCTTGTCTTGTTTAGCTTGGAGAAGAGAGAGGAGACCTCCTTGCAGCTTTTCGGTACTTGAGGGGAGCTGTAATTTTGCTCTGTTATGGAATAATACATAGGTGGCTCCACAAGTAATGTATCCTATTTATTTCCAGGGAAACTACAACAGATACAAAGAGCACAATAACACTATTTGATAGTGCAAATTCTCGGCTGCAAAATGCTATTTTTCAGCATAGTCACCACCATTAGCCAATTTGCACGGATGAGCTGCTAGAGATGCTCTTCATTTTGCAGTGTGACAGCTGTATGTGGCTGTCTGGAATGTGGCATTCTTTCATATCATTGTCACCACTCCTGAAATGCACAACCCACCACCTCGCTGTGCTCACATCCACTGTTAGGTCTCCATAAACTTTCAGCAAATATTGATGAATGTCACTCGGGGCACTATTTTTCACATGGAGAAATTCAATTCCTCTCTTTTGTTTCAGATGCATTTCCAAATCAGACACCATTTTGTCAGGCTGCTCTTCTGCTGCCATCTGTCATGTGGCAACAAAGCATAATGGAATATTGGTGGGAAGGTTCAACATCTACTGCCATACTACCCACATCTGCCTTTGGTATTGTGAGCCAACATAATAAAATAAGAGGCATTAATTTCAGAGCAGCCCTTGTACATTCAAAATCAGGATTTTGTGATCCAGAATTGACAACACGTGTAAGGGAATTTGCCTTCTTCCTCTGTCCTTTTTGTGACCCCTTTTTCAGTGTGGGCTTGCAGATTTTCAGCTGTGGTCACTTTGCCGATGCCACCACCTCTACTTTCAAGAATTCCTTCAGGAGGAGTGATGAGCTAAACTTTGCAAACCAAAGAATTGTTTACTATTAGTGATAAGAAGAATGTGGAATAAAGACACAGGGATTCAGCAGAATCTTCTGTACACTTTTGTTACCCAGTGTGAGTGCTTAGAGTGTATCTGTAAAGCTCTCATCACTAGAAATTGTGGTTTGAGTTTCCACTTTGTCCTCTCCATTTCTGTTCTCTCTTGTCAGATGAGTCTTTGTCATTTTATGAGACCAAAGTTCTCTGTTTTGTTTTCCACTTTAGTATAAACACATGGTTGAACTTTGCAAGCAGTAACAAATAATGCCATGTTATCTAATTTTTGGCCATCTTACTATGCCACTATTCTTGATTCTGCTAGAAATAGCCCTTTGTAAATATGCTGGAAACTAAGAATCACACTTGCTGATGTACTCAGAAAATATTAGACATATCTTTTGTCTATTGCTACTGTGTTTGCATTGACTTAATTAACTCTGTGTGCATTCCTGTCTATTCAAATGAAATGTAGTTAGCTGCAGAGGTATTCCTCAGAGATATACCTTAACTAGTTTTGAGGAACTGAAACCTTTCCCAAATGTTATGCCAATTCTGTATGTTACACTGAGTGTTAAAAACTTATTCAAATATATACTATGAGAATCTCAAAACACTTTTAATCCATGCCTCTGTGGGTTGTTTTTTTTTGTTTTTTTTTTTTTCCACTTATAATCTGTACAGGATTTCAAATTATCTGCATAATTATCTGTATGCATTAAAATATTATAGCTTTCAGGATGCAATATTTTTACCTGCAGAGTACATACCTAGACTTCAACTATCACTGTGCTTCTAGAAGAGGCTGTTAAAACCATTTTTATTATCTATACCAAATACTATGTTCCATACCTGATTCATTGTCATCGTTAATTCTCATCTCTTTCCAAAAGGACATTACATATTAACTGAGCTAGCACTCAGGGGGGACACAGATGTAATATCCTGGAGTCTGTAACTATTCTTGTTCAAAAGTAATTCTCAAGTGTTTAAGATGAAGAGCAAGTTGTACCTACAAGCATCATCTTCTTATACTTCCGTGAAAAGCAATTTAAAGCTTCTTCTGGGCCTGGCTCCAGAGTCCTGAAAACCGTGCAGCTATGGATAACAGCTGTCTTTGTTAGAGCATGGAAATTTACCTTGAACTTTTCAAGTTCAGAGCATCAATTTGAAATCAAAAGTCATAGGAAGAGCTTACAGATAAATTACCTTCAGATGTGCTGTAGTCTCATTCTGTTAGTTAAATGTTTAGAATGTATACAAAATCGCAATTCTATTATGAATTTTATTGCATTTTTGAGAAAGTTAGCTGCCTATATTGGCACGGGCAAACAAAATGCCACGTATCTTTTTCAGTCACACGTTCAATGAGGCAGGTAAAGTGAAATAAAAATACCTGAGAAATGGTGACTTTCAAAAAGAAGAAAAAAAAAAAAAGGAAGAAGAGGAATAGAATTGTGATTTACCCACAGCTGCTGCAATCTGTGTGTGTGTGTATGTGTACATGGAGCTGCTTGCTATGGTGTCCTCCCCTGTCAGTGCTACCTTGTATTTCTGATTCTTTTTTCCTCACCAGAACTATTTTTTTTTGTCATTTCTATTTGAGTATAATTTCTTACAGTAAAAGCTCTAATGGCTTAGTTTATTCCAGTTCTGTGCAAGTCATAAATTTCAAATATTTAAGTAAGGAAAAGCTGTATAGGTTCAGTTTTGACTTGGATGAAAAAATGACTTTTTTTTTCCCAAGAGATTCTTACAATTTAAATTGCAGGGGTTTTTTTGGGGGGTGGAGGGGGGACAGGGGGACGACAAGAAATATGTCTCCATTATTCACAGTTGAAGAGTTATTTTCATTTTCATTAATAATTAATTCATAAGAGCAATGATAACCATTTGAAATGAATACTTGATATCATGACTACAAAGAATACAAAATTTTGGTGTGGGTGAAAGGTGAGTGCCATGGCATTGCAAGCTATGGTTCAATTTTTGTAATTACTCTACAATGTGAGGTAAAATCTGAGATAAATATTATTTTTTCTGTTATACAACTACTATTGCTCTTCTGTGTTGGTAAATACAACAGAAATACGAATGTCAATAATTCATGCTCAGCTTTCAAAGATGGTCCATAGAGACCATTTTACAAGCAGATTGTTATCGATTAGGACCAGGAATTCAAAAGGACAACATGATAATTATGACTTTCATTACAGACACATTAATACTCTCTTTCATTGCAGCCAACTTTTATCAATCAATTCAAAATGTATGTCTGGTAATTTTTTTTTTTCTGCGGTTCTCATTTAAAAACTGCCATTGGATTTGTAATATGCTCAATAATGAATCCTGGCAGGGTAAATATTTCACTGTGCTTCGACATTTATTCTTTTAAGGAGCTGAGTTTACCTTCTTCTGTTTTCACCTGAAATGCCTGAAATGATTCATCTTCTTCACAAATCTGAATCCAAGTTTAAATATTTCAATTTAAAAGAGGCATTTACTTTCCAGGCTAAGGTCTGTTTAGTCCGTTATGGTACCTGTGACTTTTTAATTATTCCATTTGAAATGTCAGTATGTTTCAATATCAAATCCAAATACCGATATTTACATTTCTGTATGAAAATAAGCTTGCATGTACTTAATTTCAGGCTGAGGAAAGTTCATTTGCAAACTCTGCAGCAACTGTCTGAAGTACAGAAAATGACACCACGGGAACGAATGAGGCTGAGGAAGTTAAATGCTGCAGATGAGAAAGCCAAGAAGTTGAAGTAAGTTGTGCATAACATTGTCATTGTGCCCTAACCATACAGTTTCCCCCTTTCAGTGTTCTGTCTAGGGAATTAGAACAGTCAAGGTAAGAATAAAAAAAAATAAAAAAAATAAAAAAAATAGAAACCGTCTTTAGCTACTCAGAGTGAATGGGAATTTTGGATGATTTAAATTAAGGTAATTGTTTATGTAGAAAAGAATTCAGAGCATTAGCCCAGATTGATACTTTGAGCACAGTGTTTCTAGTTAAATATGTGTATGAGAGATACTTGGATTCATTACAGTAGGGAATTTTGTTAATGATTTGTCATTTTGAGAATTGCACATTTTGAAGAGCCAGTAACAATACTGCTTTTGTCAATTGTTTTTTCCTAAGAGATATGCCAATAAAAGCTAACAGCTCTGAGGAAATTGTCTTGTCAAGTGATCAAATAGCAGGGAAATCAACATGTTGTAAGGGCTTTAAAATTTATAGCTTTTTATTAAATAAGAAAGACATAATAAAAATGGGGATTTGAAGTGTCATTTCTGAATGGTATGTGAGAAACAGTTTGAGGGCTATGTTTGTATGCACAGATCCCATTTTTAAATGGAAAGAAGATACCGTTTTGATAACACACTTGAATTTTTTCCCAGTTAAAAATGTTCAGTGTTTCATGTGATGTGAGTGAAAATCAGAAAAGCTCCCTATTCATTTTTAACGTTTTCTTTAAAGGCATGTTGCAAAGTGCAGTGTAAATTTAAAAATATTTATTCAGTTATTTATAGACAGCAATTAAGGAATAGAATCATAGAATCATAGCCAACCCATGGCTTGGGTTGAAAAGGACCACAATGCTCATCTAATTTCAACTCCCCTGCTATGTGCAGGGTCGCCCATCACCAGACCAGGCTGCCCAGAGCCACATCCAGCCTGGCCTTGATGATGGGGCATCCACAGCCTCCTTGGACAACCTGTTCCAGTGTGTCACCACCCTCTGTGTGAAAAACTACATCTGAATATCTAACCTAAACCTCCCCTGTCTCAGTTTAAAACCATTCCTCCTTGTCCTATCACTAACCACCCTCGTGAACGGATGTTTCTTCGATTCTTTCAAATACTGTGAAAGGCCACAATGAGGTCTCCTCCTGGCCACTCCTCTTTTAGTGCAGCCCAGAACATAGTTGACCTTCTGGGCTGCAAACGCACATTGCTGGCTCATGTCCAGCAGGACTCCCTAGTCTTTCTCTGTAGGGCTGCTCTCAGGGGTTCTTCTCCCAGTTTGTGCAAATACCTGGGATTGCCCTGGCACAAGTACAGCACCTTGCACTTGGCCTTGTTGAACCTCAGTGGGTTCTCATGGGCCCAATTCTCCAGCCTTATGAGAATCAGTAACCTTGCCATGCCAAAGCACACTAGAAATTCAGTAATATCTAACTGCAAAGAAATAATGCAGGGTTACATGAAGCCTGAATTTATGGCCTCAGTAGCTTCACAGCTGTTACATATGCCTGCAAATGAATAGTAATCATAGTTGAGGGAAAATGCTCTGTAAAATTGTATCCTAGTGTTATTTGTGCAAACCCATGGCATCTGTACCCAGAAGAGACAAATGAAAACTAAAGGCCTTCCTTTTCTTTAGGAAAATATATCTGATCAGTATTTATGTCTGACACCAAACACTAAATTTGAGACTCAAGCTGGTATGTAAATTTATTCTCGTTTTTAAAAAGCTACTTAAAATGAACCAATTATATAAAATAGCACCTCTTGTGTGTCGTGTTTTCAAAAGTATGACAGGCCCATTCTTATGTGAAATTTATAAGTAGGAAGTCTGTCGCTTTCATTTTTTTAAGTGACCGGAAGTAAGGAATTAATACTAATTGCAGAATATTTCTTGTTTGTCTTTTGTTTTCTCTTCTTTCTTGCGTTTTAGCATTCTCTATTTTCGTGTTTTGTTGGTTTTTTCGTGTTGTTTTTTTTTTTTTCCCCAGCAGCAGAAGTAAATATATTTACTTTATAAAATAAAGGCAGCATATTAATTTGCAAATCTTATTCTCAGTCATAAATCTTTAAAATTGATCTATATTCAGCTCTTTTGTTGCCTACTAACTTCAATAACATAGTATCTTCTCACACAAGAAGATCTTCATTCAGTAGTGCAGATCTACTCATAAATGGGAAGGGGTTTTAGTGATGGAAGCTGGAGGATTTACTTAATGTAGCAGCTGACATAAGCAGTCCCATACAGAAAACATACAATTAACAAGTCTCTCCTGAGTGAAATTTCACAGCACAAGTGCTGTGTGCCTGTCTTGACCTGAAAGGTCTGTGGACTACATGGTGGAATGAAGGCTGACATGCTTAAGATCTTTGGAAGGGACAAAAGCTACTGGGACTAACCATTTTCTATTTCTTAATTACATTGTGCAGGCTGTGAAAGATAAATACAATAACTGTTTGAAAAAAAAAGGCCACAGATCTTTTCGTGTAAAACTAACCTCATCTTGCCTAGATGCTGTGAGTGTTTGGTACCACAGTACTCTGATAATGGAATTTGCTTTTCCACATCTACTGCTAGGAGATCCCTTTGTGCAATCCCGAATATCACATCTCAATCACAAGTATTCTTTATTTACAGACAGCTGGCAGAAGAAAAATATCAAGAGAATGTCAAAAGAATGCAAGAATTCAGGTCCCGTAATTTTCAGAAGCTGAATGTCAATGTCCTACATGTAAGTAGAGTGTGTTGGAGACCTTATTATGGACTTTCAGTGTGTACCTCTTTTCTGTTTGCTGCACACTTTCTTTAGCATTAGAGACACTGTCCTGTTCTAAGATTAATAATTTGGATGTGTTTCAAAGTCTGAACCATTCGCTGAACCTTACAGACCTGTGATGAGTGGCAGTACATTCAGTTATTTGGACATAGTTCAACAAATTCTCTAGTCACTGCACAGTTTTCTTTTACTAAGCCACTTTTGAATCTAAATCTTCTCTCTGAAATGTACTTCCCAATAGTCTATTTGATTCCAGAGTTCAAAATACATTTGATTTCAAGATAAATTTAGAATTGTAATCTTTTAAACACTCTAATTTGAGATAGCTACAGTTTATTTTCATTTGGCTAGTTACAAATGTCAACATTTTAACTGAATCCTCTAGTAACAGTAAAGTCTTGAAGTGACTCCCAGCGTAAATTCTCCTTTGCTTTTAAATTGTCAACAACAGAAAATAGTCCTGATCAATACCAGCACTTTGTCTTATAATACGGTGAACAGTTTGGAAATAGTGGAAGCATAACAGATATAACAAGGTTTCTTTTAGTACTTTGTTTTTATTCAGCATTTCTCATTGTCTTTGGAAAACTAAAAACCATGTTAAATCTATCATAGCTTGTGGTTGACACATTGCTGGTCAATTACGGAAGAGTTAGGAATTTTTTTCTTAATATTTGCTTAATGAGTCCCAGAAGTTGTGTGAATGAGGGCAACCATCATATTGTGGTGCTGTTGAAAGCTCTAACTATCCCTGTTTCTCCATGCTGCTTTGTTTGACTAAGGAATCTGACGACCAGATTTCAAAACCCCTAATTGATTCTCAGCTGGTCATGACATGTGACTCCACGTCCATAGGATGTGATGAACCAAATGGAAGTGAGAGATTGAGTCAATTTACGGACCATGGTAAGATTTAAAAATCTGATGTTGAATTGAAACTTCCTATAAGGATTTGATTTTGTACCTTGTACTTAAATCTGTGGTGAAGAACTGCAGTATGAAAAACAGTTAGGTTTGTAAAGTTGACAAAAAAAAAAAAAAAGAAAAAGAAAAGGAAAATATTATAGATGGATGTATGTAGACTAGATGTGCAACAGGTTATGTGTCAGGAAGCCTGGATTCTCAGAGTTGGGGTGACTTGAATGGCAAAGAAGGTGAACAGACCTCCTCCAAAAAAGGTGCAGACTTCAAAGAAAATAGCTTTAACCTTTGCACATATAAAATGACTTGTATTAGAACAACATTTTCTAAATTACCTTTGCAGTGCAAAAATGAGTACAAGAATAGAGAGCATTTGCACTTCTGGAACACTTTGATACCATTTTCATTACCCATAGAAATGAGAGAGGCAGACAGAAACTCTTTAAAAAGTGCTTACCTGTACTGTCCTTGGATATTTAGCTACTGTCTAGAGATTGTTAGGTACTATGTTGCACTTAACTGTAGATAAAAGAACAAATAGCCAAACTTTTGAATAAGGGCTAGACTGTGGAAATGTACTTATGAGAAAATATTTTTCACAGCCCATATTTAAGTTTTGTTTTTGTTATGTACTGAAATGGTGTCAATACATCTAACTATTATGATGGAAGATTTTTAATCAGATTAGAATTTTGTTAGCATGTATTAATAGACTTTAAAATATAGCAACTACTTTCATAGCTCTGCCTTTTTGTGTTGTTTTATATGTGTCTATGAAGGGATATGTCGTTAACTCAAAGGTATCAAAATCAGTTTGTATGTGGTGGAGGTGGTTTTTTTAATAGCAAATGGCTTTTTTCTTACAATGTAGCCTCATTTACGTCCACACAGTTGGCTTGCTACTTCACAGTGCAAGGAGGGGTGATCTGTGTAGGAGAGAACTCAGCTGCTAGAAATACATCCTGGGGTGGGGGGTGGAGTAGCTCATATGTAGGAGACTCAGAGAAAGCAGTAAATGTGAGTGGGAGGGAGATGTACAAGGGTAGGCATACAAAGAGACCTAAATAGAAACAGGACAACATGCAAGAAAGGAAAGAAGTTGATGTTTCTGTCTTAAGAGGTCATTAAGTTTTTCAACTGTAATGATAGAAATTAAATGCGTTTATGATGCAAAAGTTTGCTCAGTCTGAAGTTGCGCAGAGATGAATGTCTGTTTAATGACCCTGCTTTTGTCAGATTCTCTGAAGTGGCGGTGGGTTCATGAGAAAAAAGACTTATGGATAAGTAAAGCAAATTACACAGTTTCTCTTCTTTGCTTTGTGAATACCTTGTTGAAGCTGATGTCAAAGCTGTTACTAACTCTATTCAGTATTCATTCTTTTCATTAAACATTTCAGTGCAGCCATGCGTGTTCTACGTGCTATTAATTAAGTTATTAATGGAGTCTTTGTACCTGAAAATGTAAAAACAATTCCAGCTATTGATGTTCAGTAGAATTTGGTTCTCAATCAACGTGCCATACAATAGAAAAATGGTAAAACTGGAAGCAAGGCTATAAAAACCTTTTGTAAAGTTGTCTGACATCCAATAAATTTGGTAACTTATACCAGGTTAGCATAAGTTAGAAGAATGCCAGACTTAGTCTCCTTAGTTAGAACTAGTAACAAATAGCAGGTGAGGAAGAGGCAAAATTGCAGGTGAAGGAGTCTGCTCATGGATACCGAGGAGTTTCAGAAGCAGCTGCCTTTAAGCTACTCCTAAAAATCCTCTCAGAAATAGGAAAAGCTGGTGGGGAACAGCTAAGGAGAATACCCAATCTCAAGAGATAGGGAGGAATGTTCTAGCTATCTTTGGCTCATATCTTAAAGCCCTTGAAAAATTTGCAATGTGAAGCAAAGAGAGAAGGAAAATGGAAGGGAAGGGAATGAGAAGAGAAGCAAAGGGTTGGGGGAAGGGAAGAAAGGAAGAAGGGAGAAAGGAAGGGCTTGGAAGATTGAAAGACAAGGTTCCTAAAGCATTAGAAAGAGCCACAGATAATAAAACACTGTACACTATGCTCCCACTGAAAATTATCTAAAACACTATGAAAAATGGTGGTATGTGTTTGGGGAAGGTGTCAGATGCAGAGCTCAGTGTTTAGTTTTAGTAAGGAGATTTAGAAACCATGGCATTTTTATCCAGTTACAGCAGTAGTAAATACAGTTTTTGAAAGCATGGAAAACCAAGGCAGGTTACATAAGATTAGATAAATGAAAATCAAGATGATAGTTTGGAGTTTTGGACTTCGTGGTGGATGAGCTTCGGCAAAGTAAAAAAAAAAAAAAAAAAAAATTAACTGCTGAACTGTTCCCTGGGAATTTTTAGCTTCTCTCCGTGTTTGTTTTATGTAATGATTTTTTAAAAACATTTTTCATTCTAATTAGCACCTCTGTGCACTTGACAGACATTTAAAAGAGTTGTATGAAATCACAAATAGTTGATCAATCTAGTCATCAAGCAGGTTTTCTTTTTTGGGGTATGAAAGACATCTAAGCAGACCCTGTGCTTTTGATGTTGATAAAAACTCAGTCTATTACAGAACAGGCCCATTTAGACTGTTCATAGATTGTACGCCAGCTTCAGAAACATAAAGAAATAATTTGGTTCTTGAAGTACTTGCAGAGAAATACAGTGGGCAGTATAAAATGCTATTTTTAAGCATCAAAATTCTATTTGTTCTTTTAAAGTATGTTCCCTATTACTTCACTCAGCTGTATTTGCAGACTTAGTCTTTTTTTCACAGAGACTGCACACTGCCATGCTGCCTTCTGTCCCCCTGCTTACTTTTGGGGTTCTGGGCACCTATCTGCTATGCTCCAGCCTGAAATGAAGAATGTGGATGGGTGACATTAAAGAAACACAAGCTTTTGCTGGCAGAAATCTGTGCATTTGTATGGGAACTGCTGAATCACGGCCTGAACCTCTGATTGATCACCTGAGGCAAGCACTGAGTCAGCCCTGGGAGCACAGGTGAAGGCAATTCAGCTGTGCTGCAGGAAGGGGAGGAGCCTGGCTGCACCTTTCCTAGACCCATTTAAGAGCTGACTACCAGTAGGAAGGATCTCTTCTGGAGATCCACTCTGCAGGAGTTTCACCACTGAGCTCAGGATGTGGGTAGGTGTCCTATCTTTTCTGCTTTCGTGTAATAACTTTGTAGCCAAGCTCTCTGGTATACTGTAACATCTGTATATTCATTGATTGTACGGCATTACTTGAACTCAGGAAGAAAGGGATCTAGTTTTAACTTGGGAGTGGGCTGCAGTGAAAAACCATGTGAATAGCAGGTTATGCTATTTTTGCTTCAGCGACCCAGGAGAGGAAGCTGTGCATTAAGAACACATATTCTCAGTGCTGTTACCTTGGCAGCTCTCTGTCTCTGCTACAGAGGAATTGCTGCTCTCAGTGGCACCACTTCCCCACGATTTGCTTCTGTTCCATGGTGAGAGTACCAACTTCAGTTTGATCTCTGAGTCCAGGCTGTGGTACACCATCATCTGTAGTGCAACTCTCCTCAAGATTTTGGCCTGTTCTGTATGCTCTGAAAAGTTCTTCCCACTTCTCTGTGTAGAAAGTTGCTCCTGGGCCAAAGTACTGCAGTGCTTGTAAACTTTTTTATTTCTGCCTTAGTTTTTCTTCTGGCTGTGTCAAGCCAGTGTTTTCAAGATGTACTTCTTATTGTCTTGTAGCTTAAGTACTTATTTTCCTCTCTTTTCCTATCTCCTTGTGTTTTCATAGGCAACAGTAATATTCTTCTGTGTATTACTTCTATAAAATACTTCTGTATTTTTTATCTGTTATACTACTGGCTGCTCCCAGCATACCTGAACCTTCCTTCCTTAAGATGCTTCCGAGCTGTCATCTCACAGTTTGTGCTTTGCGTTTCTTCTTTCTTAAGTTACTGTAATCATCTTCTGAAGTTCTTTGTCTCTACACATACAATCTGGAGTAATGTATTGTTCCCTTTATTTGTGAAAAGGCTGGCATCAGGGTTGTTCTGATGCTGATGTTTATCTTTTCCATGGATTACTGCTGTACTGGTAGATCACTGGCTTTTCTCTGTGGGCTACCATATGCTGGGCAAGGGTGGAAAATTGCAGTTCTGTTTCTACATCACATTAATTATTTCTGTGCAATTTCTTTTGCATTGGTTACATTATTACCTAATGAAGCCAGATTGTATAGTGTTTCTCCCAACTCTCTATACAACTCAATTCCTGCTGACTAGCTCTACAGTTGCAAATGTGTTTAATAAATAGGAAAGGCTAGCTATGGGGATTTATTTGTGAAGAACCCAGAGAAATGTACTTAGGTACTTATCTATGGGATATTAGTGTGGAATATTCAAATTTTCCTACTTTGCTACACAGAAAATGCTGTAGGTGGAGGTCAGTCTTTGCAGTAGTATAATGCATGAAGAGCAGGGTGTTATCCTGCTATAGAACTGTAATAGCTAAACGTTCAAGGTTTCTGATTCAGCTTCTACGGTAGAAGTTACCTTGAAATTGGTGGCAAAACCTTGAACTGTATATAAAAATGCTTCCAGATTGCTCAGTACTACTTACAGTTTTGAAAAACGTGACCGTTTCCATACCTTAGTCTTAAATCCTTCTGATTTGGACCAGTTTTTGCAGCTGAAAGATACTGGATTGAAAGCTACCAAAATCCCTTACTTCTCACAGGTGCTACAAGGAATATTAAGTTCAACAAGCTACAGTCTAATTGTCATGAAAACCTGAACTTGCACGCTGGCATTTGTGGCAAAATGTGCCACTTTCTATTCATATCATCTTCATAGATAATAAGACATGGTAAACAAGACTGAAAGATTTATATTTTTAAGTTTTCAATAAATTATATATGAAAGTGTATAACAATTTCTGAGGGCTTGTCCTTGCTGCGCTTAAGTGGCTAGAATGAAAAAGACCATGCAGCAAAAGAACATTGGA